TTCAGGTTGGAAGGGAGCTCAGGAGCTCTCTAGTCCAAAGTCCTGGTCAAAGCAGGATCGGCTGTCAGCTCAGACCAGGCTGCTCAGGGTTTGTCCAGTTGCATCCTGAAAACCTCCAAGGATGAAGACTGCACAACCTGCTCCACTGCTCGACTTGTCCTCTCGGGGGGAAAAAGTGTTTCTTTAATCCAGTCTGAACATCCCTTTTCCAACTTATGTCCATTGCCTGTCATCCTCCCACCATTCAGCACTGTGAAGAGCCTGCCTCCATCTTCCTGGTGACCTCCCTGGGTCATCCTGGGGGCTGCTGTTAGGTCCCCCTGAAGGCGTCTCTTCTTTCCCAGATGGAACAAGCTCTGGTTCCTCAGCCTCTCCTCACAGGGCAGTGCTCCAGCCCCAGCCATCTTGACCCTCTACAACTGCCTGACAGGAGGCTGTAGCGAGGTGGGGGTCGGCCTCTTCTCCCTGGTAATGGGCAATAGGATGAGGGGAAATGGTCTGAAGTTGTGCCAGGGCAGGTTTAGGTTGGACATTAGGAAAAATTTCTTCACAGAAAGGGTTGTCAGGCACTGGAATGGGCTGCCCAGGGAAGTGGTCGAGTCCCCATCCCTGGAGGGATTTAAAAAACGGGTAGATGATGTGCTTAGGGACATGGTTTAGTGGTGGGATGGCAGGGTTAGGTTAACGGTTGGACTTGATGATCTTCAAGGTCTTTTCCAACCTAAATGATTCTATGATCCTCTACTAAATACACTCGAGTTTGTCAGTCTTTACTGTTTTGGCAGGGAACAAAACTGGACATGGTATTCTAGATGTGGTCTGATGAGTGCTGAGTGGAGGTGGATAAGCCCTCCTTTCCATCTGCTGCCTCATCTCCTGTTAACGCAGCCCAGGATGCTGTGTGCCTCCTTTTCTGCAAGAGCACGTTGCTGGCTCACGTTCAGCTTGCTGCCTGTCCCCAGTCCTCTTTAGCAGAGCTGCTGCCTGGCCAGTCAGTCTACTGGCAATACTCGCAATACATCGTGACAAAATGCATCCTTTGCCACCACATCGGAACATCTTCCTTGATCTGTCTCTGCAGATTTACATTTCATTAGCGAGTAGTGGTTTCCAGCATAAACACAGTAGATGAGGAAGTGTTCGGTGATCAGTTACAAACCCATTCATTCTTCTGTTCCTGTGCTCCAGGCACAATCTCTCTCTGGCAGACCTCTTAATTTCCTGAAAAAAGACAGAAACTTTACACCAAAAAAGTCACCTTCTGTCAAAGGGAATATTAAAATGCCAAGGTTAGCAATTAGAGGTATACAAAAGGGGTTTTTTTGGTTTTGTGTTGGTTGGTTTTTTAAAAAAGATGCTTGATATAGAGCAATTGCTCCACCTTGAACTCCAAGATCTACATAACACCCATTATTCTAAGGCTCCTATCTTTACCAGAACGTCCCAATTGGAAAGATTTTGTGGAACTGTATCGTGTGCCTTTCACTGGCCTATGCGTCAGGGCAGGGCTGGAGTGGTGCATCACAGAGTGATGCTTTAGTTCTATTGCAACATGAGCATGAGAACGTGGGCTGGTGGTGGCACGCAGTCCTACTTCATATAAAGCGTGAAATTGTTCAGTAGTGGTAAAAGAATGATTGAATGGAAAATAAAATATTCAGAGAGGATGTGACCTAATAAATAACTTCAGTTTTGATTGCATTTGGAAAAAAGGATGGAGCCAGCAGTTCTTACAATATCATTATTCTTTCCAGAAAATTTGTGTGCTTGTGACACATTTTGTAGATGAGATCTTTACTTTTCTGTAAGTGAGGAGGTAAAGGGGGGAAAAAAAACTGCTTTTTTTATGTCTTCCAGTGGTTCTTCTCCGTCAGCAACAACACCTTGGTTGTGCCCTGGTTAGAACCTGGAACAGCTTATTGCGTCAGCGCGCAGATACATGTCACTGCACCGCTTTTGCACAGTGGGTTCTCCAAAGAACATTGCATTGCTACTTTGAAAGGTATGTGCAAGCTGGCAAATTACAAAAAGAGGATTCAAATTAGAAAAAATAGTGGTGATTGAGTTTAAGTTTTTTATGGATCCATTCTGAGAGTGAAAAGCTAGCATTGTTTCTCCCCTCCCTGTGTGTTTGTACTGATGAAAAAAATCTTTGCCTTTAATAAAACATATCTGGGATCTACTGACTGGAAGGTACGACAGTACCTCTGAAGAAAAGGATCTGCATTCTTCGAGTCTTAGCGAATGGAGTAGATCTTTACTCCTTGAACAAGGTTTGGGAGTGGCAGAGCTGGGTCAGTCTGAAGTTAGCAACAGGAGAACCTGAGGGAGGGGTTGTTACTGCTTTTTAGAATTTAATTTATAATTTAGATAATAATAGAAATCTGTCCTGTAACTCAAATGTAATTTTTTTTAAATTCCCTGAAAATTCCTTGTTTATCTAAAACATTCACATCCCATATCCAAAACGCAATGTGGGCAATGCACATTGCTATCTGAACGCATTAAAAAGTTGGTCTGTACAATGGAAACTTTTGTTTTTTTAACAGATAAAACAGCAGATGAGACTATCACAATTGCATTTGGATATGTTCTGCCTATCATGCTGGCTGTCCTTTTGATTTCAATGACGTGCTATTGTGTGCACAGGTACATTCACGTCAGCAAACAGAAACATCCAACAAACCTGGTAAGTGCTCTTTGGTGCTGGATGACGCTGCCAACCTTGGCACTCGCAGCAGAGCTGTGCGTTTTTCGGGGCTCCGAGTTGGTTGGGAGGAAACCATGGCTAGCTGCAGATAAAGCTCTGGTTGCCACTCAGATAAAGAAAAAAACATTCTGTTGAGGGTTACTAAATGCAAGAAAAACAGAGTAATAACTCAAGCTAGCAACCATATCAAAAAAGATGACCAGTTCTGAAAAGATGACCAGAGCTACTGAGGACCAGAACAGAGCTGTTCGTTTGGGAAGAGTCATTGCCATAAGCAAGGTCTGAGGTGCACTGAGGCAAGTTCTGTTAGGAAGTCAGGACTCCGTAAATTTATCTGGGAAGAAGCACAGCAGAGATTCAATGAACAAAAGTTATTAAATGGTTGAAATCAGAAACAAAAGAGAAGATAATTAAGCAGTGCAGAAACCCCACGATGTTTTCTAGGACCATTACTGGGTACTACCTTCTACCATTTAATTGTGATTGTGAAGGATTTAGCACATGCATGTCATACAGATAATTTAATCTGGATTTCAAGAATGCTTTCAAATACTGCACTGTTTCCTAACACCCAAAAATGTACCAACAAATATATTCTGTTATTCAGACAACACAAATACAGTTCCTACATAACAATGTTTGCAATTCCTTAGAGCTGCAAGTTTGTTAATTTTTAGTAAGAACACACGGAGTCTAAGAAACACTGTTGGTTTCCAGCTCATGAGCCCAGCAGAGCTTTCTCACAGCTACCTCTAAACAAACATGCAATTTCAGTAAGGAGTGAACACTCTGATGTTAATTTAATCTGCATGACAGGGGAGTTATAGTGGAGTTGGTTTGAACATGCTGATCTTTCTGAAGAAATCTAGAGCAGCGCAGAAGTGATAGGAGAAATGTTCATGGAGGGACTGAATGCTTCATGGAGGGTTCAGAAGGAGTAGAGCAGCTGCTGCTGCAGTGTGTTCAGATGTGCATGGAGGCACCTCCTGCACCTGATGAGGTACCAGCTTTATACCAGAATCATGGAATCACAGAGTGGTTTGGGTTGGAAGGGACCTTCAAAGATCATCTAGGCAAACTACCTTGCCATAGACAGGGACATCTGTCACTAGATCAGGTTGTTCAAAGCCCCATCCAACCTGACTTTGAACACTTGCAATGATAGGGTGTCGACATGGAAGTCAGGGACACTGCACACGATCAATGTGATCAAGCAGATGCCAATTTATTGTTGATACATCCCGGTTAATATAGCGCTTCTATTTCCCTGTCATGCACAAGCTCCTAACTAATTGGTTAACTCTATCTGTACACGCGCTCTTAGCTACGGTATGATTCGTTAAAGTCTCTTGTCCACGCGCACGGTCCTCTCCACCTGCGTCCTGCTTTGCTTTCTGATCTCAGTCACGTACACCAACTTTTCTTCTTCTTCTCAAGGTTGTTCTCATCATTTTCTGACCGCAGGCGGCTCCCACAATGTCCTTGAGGCTTGCTGCTCACAAGCATAACAGGTGCATTCGGTCTGGATTGTTCACTAAGTGTCCTTGATTCTTCAGATATCCCACAAATCCCCCTTTTTGTTTTTGAACAATCCAGACTCCATGTATAGCCTTCTTTATCATATCAGTTACACAGCGCAGTATTATAAGAATTAATATAAGCAAAACAGCTAAAATGAATACTAAAGCATGCATTAGTAAATCACACAGCCATTTCAGTGCTCCACACCCAAATTATCCCAAAACGTGTCCCACGGATCCTTGTTAACTTGTAGCTTTCCCATATTCCCTTGTAGTTGTGAAACACAGCCGCAGTTATTCGGGCATCTGAGGTTGTCCATCATTCTTGGGATGCTGCAGCCAGGGCTGGATACATTTTGCTGGTACCTATTATGGTCCAGAATCTGTAATTATACAAGCATAACCTCGACCGGTCATTTTTACTTCTGCCGGGCCTTTCCATTCCCCAGTTTTTAAATCCCGGTACTGCACCTTCACCAAGTCACTTTTTTTGCAGTCCAGATTGCAATGACATGTGGTGAATTACAATTGGAGGAGATTCGTGGTCTCCTGTCAACCTCAAATAATTTAGTACATAAAATGCTGTCGGAAGGGAAGTCGGACCCGGAGTAATGATAGAATCTCAATATGAGTATGGTCGTTCTCCTTTATTGCGCAGTTAGCAAAAGCATATATAGGCAGAAAACAATAACATACACACGAGTCACACTGTGGTTGGTAGAATGCCGCTATACACACACCTCCATCGCTACCGTGATTGGTGCCATAATTGCAAAGCCCCTAAGCCCCGAGGGTTTACACCAAGACCTAGGCCAAATCCTGATTTTTGACGAGCAGGACATGATTGCGCAATGCCTCGGGCATCAGACAGCTTTAAATAAAACTGCTTTGCCAACACTTTAGCAGATTAATGTAAAAAATCATGAGACAAATGAGCCTGCTCAAACAGGTTGACATTCTTATTTTTCCAAGCAGTACCAACTAGCTTGTCTGCTATGTTGTTTCCGATCGACAAGCCTTGATCAAACTGATGGCTACGAATGTGTGTCACAAAGTAGGATTCCCTGCGTTGGTTTAACAAAAACAATAGCTGCATCAATAACATATACAAAGTGTTATTTTTTAGGGTTTTGATCATGGCACGTTCTAGGCGCTGTACTGTCCCCACCACATAGAGCGAGTCTGAAATTACATTTAGAGGTTCGTCAGGCCAGTGTTGAAAGGCCCATAACACTGCTCTCAGTTCGAGTATCTGCAAAGAGTCTGCAGTGTGACCTGTAAGAAGTTGATGATTCCACTG